ACACACACACACACACAGAAGACTGAATAAACAGTCATTCACCTGAAGCTCTCATTAAATCTGAGTATGGGAAGTTATTACTCAGTGGTTTACCATTTCATTGTAACAAGATGACAGTTATATCTATTTGTTGCAACAACCTGAGCGAAAGCTGCCACAACACAGTCATTTAGGACCAGCTTTTCATAAATGACTGAATTGAAAGCATAATGTCACATACATCACAGCAAAGGCAGTGGTCGTAAGAGGTGATGTTATATGCTAACTAATTAGGGGTAAATATGGATTATATTGCTTTTACTATGGCCATTAAATTAAAATGTAGTATTGATCATACATCCTTTTTTTTTACAATAATACATATTAGCTCTTGTGGTATCTCTCCATGCAGGTTTTTCTTTGCCCATGATTGGAGATATCTGACTCTGAGATCTACCACAGCAGAATGGAGGTGAATGGCATGCTCTGTTTTGGGTGCTCTCAACATGGAACAGTACCAAGAGCCATGCTGGAAGCTCTGTAAGGCTGTACCTTAGGCCACGTGCTTCTTTAGCTAAAACGGCAGAAATCTCAGCGTATTAAAAAACCTGATGATAAAACAACTTTTTCAAATCTGCATGGATAGATAGCACTAAATGTAATGTAAATGTAATTATAATTTAGGTGAACCATCCCCTTTGAATGTAAACCCATTTTACAATATTTAGGGAGAGTCATAGGCTAGTAACAGCTGAACCCAGCAGCCTTGCAGCTATGAGGATGCATTAAACAGTGATCAGGCACTCTGTCCACTGACATACAGATAGACACAATAAAGACTTACATTCACAGAAAGCTAGAACAGCGAGTGGTTAGAAAGTTGGAGGAGCCAGTTGGCACTCAGTCGCATTTCAGGCTGGTGAGCAAAGACACAGGATATGTTTGTTTCAACAGCAGCTATTGTGACATTAAGGTCTTTTTCGCTGACTCATGCCAGACCAGGATGGGAGGTGTTTTTTTTTTTTTTTAGAAAACCTATAGTCAATGCATGAAAGGGTTTTGGTTTTGAAATGTAGACAGCATCCAGCTCCGTTACAGATTCAATGTCCACTGGAAACATTTTAGGATCATGCATGAATCACTCCGGCGCTATACCCAGTGGAGCAAAAGACGGAGACACATGCACACCAGCTAGAATGGCAGTGGATTGTCTGTGGCAGCTGTGACAGAATGGATGCTGTGTACACTGGCTGTAAGATGAATGACTGACTATCAGATATATTACAATTATTACCTTACAACCTTTCACGAATGGACAGAACTTAATTATGGCCACTCTCATAAAGTAAATTTGAATTGACTGTTCCAATGTCCCACCCCTTTTGGAACCTCT